TAATATTATTTTTTCTACCATTTAAAAAAAATATACGATTTCAATAAAAATAAAATTAAATACTACGAAAAGATACTTACCGAATTGAAGTGCTGAAATTTAACTATATTTTTCTGTTGAGATTGATAATTGATAAGTTTATGAAATTTTGAGGTTGAAGTGGATGAAAAATGGAAGAGTTTTTATCGTGTTAGAGTAAACTGATGAAAAGACTGACTTCGTTTTCAAATTTCAATTGAGCCTTGTTTGGATTTTTATTTGTAACTTAAGGATATTTTTGTCTTTTTACCATATTTCTATTTTTGTAATTATATAACTCATTTAAGGGCGTTTTAGTCTTTTACACAAGAAATGGCTATTGTGGTGAATGTTAGATTTTTATGGTTAAAATGGAAAATGGTTGGTTTTACAGAGCTATACTTAAAAGTACCCCGAGGCGTGAAGGCTTGTAGATACATAAATACCATAAAGATACCTATTTTCATACATAAGGGGTAGTTGGTTCACTTGGAAGATGAACGGCGGTCCGGCTGGTTTCAGTACGTTTCTTTTCATTCCATCTCGATTTGTTCGTATATTCGTTAATTTATTTGATTGTATTTTTCCTTTTTAATTTGAATTTGTTGTGTATAAATTGATTCGATAGACAATGCGCCGGTGACAAGAGCAATAGTAATAGCAAGTGCCCTCTTCACGATTATCTTTGGGATCCGAGGTCGCTCTAGTAAGCTCGGTTGGTCTTATCAGGTATTATTTCTGGGTTTTTTTTATCTGTTATACTTTTTTTCTTGAATTTCATTATGCCCCCTTTCATATATATTGTTTAATTTTGCAGTAATGACTAGAATTTTTTATGGGCTGTTGTTGTGTATTTTTTATTCCCTGTTTTGATTTTCTTGTAATTGTTATTCTCGTGTTGCATTCTTAAAATTTTTTAATTTCTTTTTAACTTTAAAGTATATTTTCCTGGGTGGTGTTATTCTGTACGCTTTCCGTTTGGTATCTCGTTTCGGTTGACCTACGTTTTCTCTTGTTGCATGCTTAAATATTGATTGCGTTTGAATGACCAGTAATTTTTGTGTTTATTATTGTTAACTAAAACATTTGAGTTTTTTTTTGCTTATTTTTTGTTTCCTAATTGCGTTGCATAGAAGGGTATAATGTTGTTATGCTGATGACTAGGTTTTCAAATATAAATGACTGCTCATCTGTCTTTGATGTTTGTGAATTTTCCTATCTGATGCTGTTTTACAGACATTTGCTTCGTTATTCATGTCATTATTATTATTCATCGAGTATATAGTGGTGTTCCTGCTAGTTGATGTAGAATGTTGATCTACGCATAAATACTATTAAGAGTAGCAAGCCTATTCCTACAAGAGATAAGACCTAGAGAGTTCTTTAGTCCCTCTATTTTTATTTGAGTTATTCTGGCTTACAAGAATCTGACAGTAGATTCATTGGTTAAGACAAGAATTAGAGTTAATATGAAGAACCATAAAGAGTCAACATATGCAGCAGTAAATCCCATCATCTGTGTTTGTGTCCCAATTTTAAGGTAGTGAGTTATTTTGAGCATATGTTTTAGAATAAGCTGAAGATGTTTTGTAAATCTGCTTCCTGATGGTGACTTTAAGTATAAATGAAGAACAATCTAGATATTTTTCAAGCTTCTTAAGAAATTTGGCCTTCTTGTTCCTCTGGTGTGTTGGCCTATTTAATTGTGTTTGTTTTCTTTCTACATTCTACATCTGCAGTTTTTATTCAAATATTCTGTAAATTGTGATTAAAAAAGAGGAAAGAAAAAAAATAAGTCTTTATCTATCTCCTTCATTTTGGCTCCAATAGAATTACATTCTTTTTTTCACATATACTGCATATTTATTTGTATTTTTGAATTCAGTTTTAACTGTATTCTTATATTCTCATGACAGGATATTTTCACGAAATTACAAATATGGAAGCTGATAGTGTCGGTTTTTGCCTTTACATCTACACCAGAACTAGTTTTCGGAATTTATCTTTTATACTTCTTTCGTGTTTTCGAGAGGCAAATAGGGTCTAACAAATACTCTGTAAGCCCTTTTACATGTAAAAACTACTTTTTAGTTATTTGATAATGTTTATATTGCTCAGTAATGCGCTCATTCACTACAAATGGGTATTTATAATTTGAGACTTGTGTAGTGTTAACAATCTACACTTCCTCATGGGATGTTATGCATTAAAAGGAAGGGTATACTAATGTTTCTTAGTGCTAGCTGCTGATATGTTGATACCTCATATATCAGGTTATCCAAATAGGAAACAAATAAGGCTACTAGGTTTCCTACCAAAGCTAGAAAATAAAAAGAATTCCCTGCAGAAAGTAAGATCTTTTCAGTGGTAGCAATAGTATGATTTCAAATATGGCAAAAATGCTGAGACCTCTCCAAGTTCCAACCTCAGATTAGAAGAACTTGGACAACTCACAAATGAATATTCCTAAAGAATTAGCGAGAAATAATGAAAAAGTATAACATGTGATACGTTGCTTCTCTGAAAAATATAGTCATCTTTCAAACTCAACATGAAAAAAGTTGGTTAACATTTGGAACTATCTGTACCTGAAATAAGCTCGTTGAGAAATATGTTCTCAATTTTTTCTTTCAGGTTTATGTACATGTACCTTCTATATTGCCGTTACTTTACATTAAATGATTTTTTAAATCTTTTACTTCCGAAAGGGATGAAAGAAGCGACTGGCAGCTTTTTCTTTTCAATGTGTTGGTAAACATTCTATATCTGTATGTTTTCATGCAGGTCTTCATATTCTTTTCTGTCATAGTCTCTTTACTTGTTGAAGTCCTGGCACTAAAACTACTTAAAGGTATGCACCACTGTTGCTCATCAATTGTAATGTATAAAGTATTTTTAGGAAGGTCTATAGAAAGAAATTGAATTGAAATGAAAAAGATATATTGTTAAGTGTTACTTAGTGATATCTGTGTGCTCTCTCTTCTAAATGACTGTGTGATGATTATGTCTGTTTTTTTGTAAGAGAACCGTGTGATGAATCATGGTTGATTATTAGCTGGTAGTGATTGAGAGTACAATTTCTACAGTTGCAGTATAGACGATTGAGTGATAGCTGCAATAGTCTTTGATTATATATCAGAAAGATGGGAGATGTTACTAAATAACTTGCACCCAGGTTTAATGTATTAAGTAATTTCATAAATTTATTTCGTTTTCCTTGATATCTTTTGTTTCTCCTGTTTTTCTGTTTGGTAATAGGGATTTGTCCTGAGGTGAAATGGTGTGTAATAGTCCATCTGATAATTTACCTGTTGTTACATGTTATTTGGAATTGGCCTCGATGTGTATTCTGATCGTATTTATATTATCATAACAGATCCCTCTTTGAAGATAATGACATCTGGACCTTATGGACTTATATTTTCATCATTTGTACCCTTCTATTTCGACATTCCAGTTTCAGCACGATTTCGTATGCTTGGGTTTCAGTTCTCAAACAAGAGTTTTATTTATTTAGCCGGTCTTCAGGTAATGCCTATCAATCGTGGCCATCACCATTTTTCATCAAAGTTCGATCCTTGTCCTCTCGCAAATTTATCTCTTTTAACTCTTTTATCTCAACTCATTTCTTTCTATATCTTGCAGCTTCTTTTGTCATCCTGGAAAAGATCTGTGTTACCAGGGATCTGTGGTGTACTTGCGGGTTTCCTTTACCACTTAAACGTCATTCATATCCGCAGGCTGAAGGTTAATCCCTTAATTTTTAATATCTTTATAAATGTTTTGGCTTGGCTTGTTTGGTGCTAGGAACAGACCTTGGAAGTGAGATGTCCACAATTTCTACTGCTTTATATGTGAGACTTGATTTGACAATTGCATGGTAGCTGTTGTCATTTTTACTTGAAATATATTGTTGATGAACCATTCTTTCACTTTTGGCGCTCATAGTGAGATGCCCATATTGTTGTTGATGATAGTTGTCGCCATGCTTTCACTTAGATCACTGAACTGAATTTTGTTCCGCATTTACAGAAATACTATGGCTAATAAAAAATGACGTGGCATGAAAATACTACTAGTGCGTTGATTTTATCATCCATGACAAATCACGCCTTGTTGGACTAGTTTCACTTGAAGTTATGTGGTAAAATGCAAATACATTATCTTCAATTTTTTGCTCTTCTGCATAACATTTTGACAAGATATTTGTCAAGCTAAGTAATCAATACATCTAGATGTGTTTCAAATATTTGGTACCGACGGCACGGGATCTTAAATTTTTTGCAGAGGATAGCGGCAAATCGACGTGAATGATTTTTTTTTTGTCTTCAGTAATACTTAAAGCATCAAGTTTAAAACTCTACTTGTTGAATTTATTTTCTTGATTGTTTTTCGTATAGTTGCATATATTTCGGTGGTTACTTAAGGTTGGTTTTGCCAAATCTGTTATATTTTTCTTAAAGCTATACATGACTTTGCATCTTTCTACTTTTCAGTTTCCGGACTTCATTGCTTCATTCTTCTCACAGCTTTCTTGGCCTTCCATGGGGAGTGCATCACCAACTGGACAAGGTAGGAATGTTGTGGGAAATGCTCCATCCTATGAAGGTCGACAAGTGGAGGCAAGTATTTTTTTGGAGAATTTCCAAGAATGACCTTGCAATGTGCATGGTGAAAATTAGATTTACTTTTTTCGCTTAGAATTCTTTTTTCATGGAAGATGTCTTAAAATATTCTACTTATTTTTTAAACTAGTCAAATTGACTTTAACTCGGTCAAAGTTAACTCTCATTTTTCTCCCTTTTTCCCTAATCACCACAAGGGACACATTTGGTGAGAGAGAAGGGACTCTCTCTCTCAAAAGAGGTTGAGAAAAACTCACCATATAGTCTAGTTTTTGCCTTTTCCCAGAGACGAGAGAAGTAGCAAGCATGGATCTAGCTCACAAAATAAGGGGACTAGTTGTGTTGGGGGGGATGCATGGGGTGAGGGAGTGGCTTGAAAATCATGGGGAAGGAGGGATGGAGAAGGGTATGCACCCTACTTTTTGTGCTCCCTTGCAGTTGCCCGTGCATGTATTGGCTGATGTCATCAGAACCAGACCGTAGCAGACCAGCTAGTTCAACTGGAAAAATCAGGAACTGAACTTATAACCAGTCCGGTTATCAAAAACCATATATCTAAAACCCGGGGTCAACCCAGTCAACTTGCTGGTCTACCTGGGCTCGGATATTTTGTGTTCACCAATGTTTTTATTTTGAAAAATATCTGGCCCTTAAGCTTTCAGATCTGAATCTGAAATCTTTTGTGAACATTACCTTCAAAATAGAAAAGAAACGGGCATGAATCATGATGGGAAAAAAGAATTGAAATTCACTTTTATAAACAAAAAATGTGAAATCTTGCCTGGATCTTGCAAGGTCTTCATTTGTGTCCATTTTCATTTCCACAGAGACAATGCAAGGTTGGAAATAAGGTGGTGAAACTGGTGTCTCTTCACATTCTCTGTCTTTTCACTTCTTTGCCATTTCTTTTATTATTATTATCTCTTTTTTTGACTAATTTGACTAGTAGGAAAAAAAAAAAAAAATATATATATATATATAATTAGTAAAAAAAATAATTTGTAATTTAATATATATATATATATATATTACAGTTAAGATGGTATGATTGGCTGCATATTCCAACTGACTAATGTTATTAATTTTATATATATATATTTTTTTTGTAATTAATAAATATATATTATTAATTTTGCTCACAGGGTTGACCCTTTTATTTTACCTGTCTTTTCCGCCTTGATGTCTATTTGGGTTTTAAAACATTGCTATTGACAGCTTGTGTTTTATTCCCTCATTTTCTATTCTTCATCTTTTATGATCAGTTTTGGAGTTTATTCTCTTCGACTTCTTTCTCTCCTTTTATCCCCCTGCTGGTATTGTTTTCTCCTTTTCTCCCGTCGTTCACTTGCAGTCTGGTGGGAATCATTCTGAACGACAAAATATACAATTCTCTTTGGCAATTTCAACTTTCTTGCACTTTTTTTATTTTTATTTTTATTTTATTTTATACTCTTACTACTGTTTTTATCGGCAAGTAACTTTCGCCTAATAAATTGTGCAATAAATTCAATCATGAATATACATGATTTCAAATATGGCTTTAATAGCGTGGTTGTTAATGAGGATTGCATAGTACTGGATTGTACTGAATTAAAAAATCTAAGTTAAAATATTGTTGATTGTACTGTCCAGTCCCACCCTGTTGTGCAAACTACTGCTGCTATTCTTAAGTATGCATATGTTAAGGGTAGTGTTAAATTTAGTTATGAGTACGTTATTTTTTTATTTCTATGGCCTTTATGAGCACTTTTTGGTCGAGTTCAAAAATTTTCTTCATCCTTTGGGTCCAGGGAAACTATTCTGCTCGATCGTCACCCACAATTAATCCTTCTGAAGACTCCATTGCTACACTGGTTTCAATGGGTTTTGAGAGGAACTCAGCGAGACAAGCACTCATTCGTGCCAGAAACGATATTAATGCTGCTACCAACATCCTGCTCGAGTCACAGGCGCAGTGAGGGGTTAGAAAATCTGCTTTGGAGGATGAGACCTGAATTTGAATTTAAAAACTAAACACACTAACAGGTTGAAGTAGTCAGCAATCAGTCACTGATTATTTCTCCAGACGGAATTTCTGCGCTCCAGAAACTATCAAGGCCCTTGGGAACTTTTCATCAGGGTTTCGCTTCATCATTTTGTACACGCTTGTGACAATTATCTAACGAAGGCAGAAAAATCAAGTATCTGGATGTCTACTTCCTTTGAAGTGTAGAAATTGGGATTGTGTAAACCATGTATGCCCTTTCTGAGGTACTTAGATGTGGATAATTCCTTATAAATGCACCAAATGTTAATTTCTGGGAATTTCAGGCTGTGAATTGTTTAAGTTCTACTTTGCAATGTTAAGAAAGTTCTATTAAATTTTAAACCATGCACCTCCATTTTTCAATAAAACATACTACAATAAATAAGATATTAATTTCTTTGTTCTCTATAATTCTGAAGAACACTTGTCACGGGACAATGGTTTCCAATTCTTGTATACAACTCAAAGCACTTCTCAGCCTCGATAGGAGCATGATTACTTCATATTTTCCAGCAATGTGAAAAGGCGAGAGAATTAATAATTTTGGAGAGAGCACGAGTTTTAGAACACACAAGAACGTAGTCCATCAACCTTCCACTCTAACCGTTTTCCTAGTTCCCTTTAATGTAGCTGGCGTGCCACCACTTTTCTAAAGGTATCGAAGTACACAACCACCTCCATTCACCTTCTTTTCGATACTAATAGGGTCCGTTTGATTGCAAAGATGGAATTGAATTGTCTAGAAAACGAATTTCAGGGAATTGAATTGCCTAGAATTGTTTTCCTGAAAATTGTAAATTATTGTGTTTGATTTGTATAATTTTTCATGTGAAAAATGTTTAAATAAAAGTGTTTTTTAATGTTCGTTTAGCTTTGTTTTACATGAAAATTGTCAATTAAATGAAAATTTTTTTTACAATAATTCTTAGAATTGGTTTCCATTACCAACCAAAAAAAAAAAGACGAAAAAAAAATAATCGCTACAGTAGGGTTCAAATTCCACTAAAACAAGGAAAATTCCAAGTTCTAAGAAATACAATTCCATGGAAAATATAAAGTATCAAACACGAATTTCCAATTCCAATTCCATCTTCTTTTTTTTCCATTTCCATGCTATCAAACACTCCCTTAGTCCAAAATCAAGAACTTTATCAGTCAGAAATTTGTCATTTGAATAGTTTTGAATTAGCATCCGCTTCTGCCTTAATTCGATTTGACGGCCGCAGCACCATCGGCTGCGAAAGTAACAGCAAATGGCCTACCCATTTGTTGGCTCACTGTGTGAGCTGGCGAGCAGCTCGCACAGGATCACAACTCGCCTAAAAGCTAATCGAGTTGCACATGAACACTCGTGCCCATTGTCATCCCTACTTGTGCTTGACGATATTTGTTTAGGGTTTAAAAACATTACATTCGTTTTTGAAAGTAATATTTCTTTTTTTCCCTATTGGTTCATTCCAATAGTTCTCACGCTCGAGCGAAATTCGAGCAACATTCGTTCGTGTGTTACAAACAAGAACTTTTTATTATTATTATTCACGTTCTCGTTGCGTCAGTGCCACTCCTGAACACCTATTTTATTTTCATTTTATTTATTTATTTATTTATTTATTTTATTTGTTTGTTTGTTTGTACAAGCACCTTTAACCTTTCAACTTTTGTATGGCTAGGATACTTGTATCCTCAAATAGTTGTCATAACAATGATAGACAACTTTTATTATCTAAACCAAACTCAAAAAATAATATAAAATGGACACCTGTGCCATTTTTAAGAACCTTTAGCCGTTCAATTCAAATTGGAACCCACCAAAAACTACAATACAAAGAAATAAAGGACAAAATCTTCACAATATCCAATAGGTAGGTTCATCGTGTAATCTAGCCATTATCTCCCTCTTATGAGTACAATATCCTCTCATCTATTCCCCCAGGACACATCTCCAAGTGGCAAAAGAGGAGGGTGGAGAAATCCAGCTTTACTTGAGGCTGCTGCGTTAAGGGTTCGAATCCTGAAATATGGATTTGGCTCTTGGGTAAGTGCAAGTGTACAAGCAGCCTTCCACCCTGTACCCTTGGAGGCATAACCTGCGATTTACCTCCCTCACGATACTCCAGGACAGGGGTGATGGGCGACTCTTAAGGTTAGGGTTTAACCTTTAATATCCTCTCATCTATTATAGATGCCATGCCCGTGCCTTTCTCACTCCCACATTCTTTTCAGTAGTTGGGGGGATTGCCAAGAATTAGCATAAACATATATATTAAGGTACCTCGTTTCAAAATTTAATTTGTTACTGAGTAGACAAATTTAGCTTTTGTTAGGGAGAGATTTTTTCAAGTAAAAAATGAATTTTTATTTAATTTTATTTTTTGAGGATGTATGGTTAAAATGTAAAGAAAATTTACGGATTTCATAGAATGTGTGTTTAAAAATAATTTTGGGAAAAAATAACTAAAAATCTCCCCCAAGCAAGCCTTTTAGTCGTTCAATTTGAACTAAAAATTATTATAATGTTGTTAACCTTCTTTAAAGGTTTGAAGTGGTAGAAAGGACGTCTATATCAAATTCTTCTTGCATCGTATTTTTTTTTTTTTTTTTCATTTTTACTTTACTTATTCAAATATACGAGGAGCCTGGCAATAAGTCCTTTTACAATGTCTTAACGCATTTTTTTGATGTAAAATGTTATTGGAGACGAGATGTTTTAATTAATCGAAGATTGATGATAAGAATGCGACAAAAAAATGTTGGGAATATAAGTACAAAAATGAGTAAAGTTTGAAAGCCTTCATTGCAATTAATATGTTGACAATTAACAAAATTTATGACGTGAATATAATTAGTCGGCCTAAAATTGTATGGTTAGAACTTAAATGGGAATTAAAATAAGGAGAGAAATGAGAATATTTTGAATCCATCCAAACTTTTTAAATATCTTCGGTGGGTCCGGGACGGAGATGGCCTTCCCGGCCCCATCCCTTGCCATCCTTATGCTTGTTGCCTAATATATAAGTTTACGCTGTTGTAATAGGAATGTTATTTAGTACCATTGGTGTCATAACACAAGTCTATGTGACACTAAATATCATTAAATAATAAATAGAATTAAATGAATTATTTAATTCTACATTTCATTGAGTCTTATCACATAATGACACTTAAATTAGTGTTATAGCGTTAGTGTTACTACATAGCATTATTCTTGTTGTTATAGTCCCTATTTGTTAGAATTTCCTACCTCCGATCAATGCTGACCCTTTTATCGTCATCGTTCCATTTAAATTTTTGTTTGAAGGGGTAAATAAAACCAATATTATTGAAGTTGTAGTTTGAGGTGAAGTAAATAAATATTTTTATAGTAAAAATAAATTATACATGATTTGAAACAATGCAATAAAGCAATTACATTCCTGGACTTGATATGTTTATTTTGTCTTTGATCTATTTTCATTAGTTGGAATATAGTGAATGAGTATTCAATATGAAGATGTAAGAGTGATTGCTAGTCATATTTTGTAAGTATAATTGTCGGAAAATATAAATTTACATTGTTTAAGGTTATGAAGTTTGGACAAACCAATAACCCTTTTCTTGGCACTAAAGCTGAACTAAATAATTTCTTTTGAATATTAGTATATTTCAAATTTAGATTCTAAGGTTAAAAAGAAAATTAACCAAAACCATACTTTCGCGAGACTATGGATACATGATTCAAGAATTCATCGTTAATAATCAACACAAGAAGTAAATTACTATGCTTTTGTTGGGTTTTTGATACCAAATAAATCCCGGGTTATGATGTTAACGTGGATTAATATTATTTCATAGGCATATGCCGATAAATGAAATAAATCTAACAACCAAGTCTATGAGTTACACCCGATCCAATTGTATTCCCTCTTGGAAGACTTGAATCTTGACCCGTTTATCTCTTTAAAGGTCTAACTTAAAGCTTAACCCTAGAGTATATATATGGCTATAACACTAGCCACTTTCTTGTGATGTTTTGCGTGGTTTTGAGAGAAAAATTAAGGAATCCCGACTGCCCCCCTTTGTGTGTGAAAAATAGCATCTAGAAATGTCCAAAACGCTTGTTTAACGTGTGCAATTGATGGTTCCTTCATAGTATACCTTTATGGTGTCTTCCTAGCCTTTGTGGCCACAAATCATTATCTTTTCTTGTCCTCCATGGGTAAGATTGAATAGCAACCGAGATGAATTAATTGGTTGTGGTTTGGAGTCGACTGGACTAGTTGTTGGTTGAAAAAGGTGCGTTGGACTGAGCCCGAAAATCACCGATTTGAAGATCTTTCAAAAAAGCTTCAGCAACAGTTTTCAATTTTCAATGCCCGTTTGGCCCCCATTATTCCACATTATAACAAGATGAATAGTAATTTTTTGGAGAATGTGTCATTAAAAAAAAAGGAATTTTGTTGGATTTACGTGTAATATTTTTTTATTAGAGAATGTGATTGATAAGAAAAGAGGAAAAAAAGAATTATAATTTAATGGAGAATAATGCGGACCAAACGAGGCTTAATCTTCTTATAAAATCCCGCAATTCCATTCTTTCCTTGGCGGCTAACACTTCCTCTCTTGCATTTCCATGTATCACGTTTATAGAAGCATCAAGAATGAAGAATTCTTTCCTTGATTTTAAAGAAATCTAAAATCCAACTTTTCTAAATGTGTTAAGCCCTCATAAAAATCACATAAAACTCCTCTTTCCATTTCAAGTCTGCCAAAATCTTGCAGAAATTTGCAAAGATGGGCCAATCCTTCAAGAAAATGGGTACTCTCTCTCCTTTTCTACGCAAATCTCTGTGCAAATTTTCAATCGTATAGGAACGTATTGGGTAGTTCGCATATTTATTATAGATGGCTCTGATGGTTCCTTCGATATAATGGTGGCATGTCATGTGATAAATAGTTGAATCTACAAGATCGTGCATGTAGTTTGTATAGCTTTTGGTAACAACTTATAATTGATTAATCTTATGTGCTTATGTTTTGTGCAGGAAATGAGGAGAACAAAATTAGTGAAATTGAAACTATCATCGAAAAATGTTATGAAAAGTACTTTGAAAACCAAATATTTGAGTGCTTACCTGACTTCTACCATGCAGTTTGCCAAGCAGTCGAGTATTTCACTTCTGTTTCATAATTTCCAACAACTGAAGGCAGCTTTATTTAACAAATCTTTTATTAGATCATTTTCCAAATTATTTTTGTCTATTTTTATGTTATATTTTTAGGGACATCAACAAAAAAATCGGTAGCACGTCATTTCGGGTGCCAAAAACTACTACACTTAAGGAGGCATACAATGTAAGTTTTTATGTAGTATACTAATTTTTAACTTCTATTTTTCTTAATATTGGAATTTTTTTTTTTTTTTTTTTTTGCTAATTGACTTTTTTCCTGTTAATCATATTTTTCAGAAACATCACAAACGAGGAGAAAAAAACTTGACAAAAGAAGAGTTTCAAAGAATCCTTCAAGATATAATTATGGACACAGGAGTTACTGGAATTGGTGCAAAAGATGTATTCTTCTACATGTTTGGAGTTCCATCAACGGCGCAAATTATTAAGCAAATGTTAATACCAAAAGCTATTCCAAATGAACTTTTCATTCCTGTTGTCACTTCTGTTACTGTTTTTCTGCTTGCAAAACTTAACAAAATATGATTAAGTTGAAGCACATTTAATTTTTTTGAATTTGTTTGGGGATTGATATGTTGTATTAATAATGCTAATTAAGTTTGTTTATCATCTTCATAATAATATACGGTCTCATTTTATATAATCTATATGTTTGATAAGATTGTTGTGCCAATGGCGTCTATTTCATACTTTTCGCACCCAATATCTCCTCCGTTCGCCTCTTCTCCTCTGATGCCTCATTCAACTCGGCAAGTTCTTGGCTGGCAACCTCGTGCTGCCTCCCAAAGGGAAGATAGAAAACAACATCTGAAGACAGAATATTCGACCTTCTTACAATTATTTCTTTCTAGAATTCAAGAGCGCTTATTTTGATTTAACTTAATGCACTAGACAAATAAACAACGCGTTCGATGTTATCCAATCATCCCTACAAAACGACATGCCATAACCGTACAACTCTTCATTCCACCTTTCTCACAATGGAAATGTTAAGAAAATGTTTAAATTCAAACTGAGAAGGCATTAGCATAACGTGATATGATACCATTGCAATTCCAAAATGAAAATATAACAGCAATATGTATTTCATACAGACTAGAAAAAATCCTCAAACAAAGTTCATTTGTTTGCAACTAAAACATCACCCATAAAAGTTTTTTTTAAGTAACAAAGCACGAAAGTATCGTACACTTATTCCCATCTAATAAACACAGACGTTTTACCATTATTATGGAAGCTTTGTTCAGGATTTTTCATATATATCATTTGAGGCAGAAACTTGTGGCCGCCGATAATCTACCTTAATAGTTTAGCTGCTGAAACTGCTCATCATGGCACGTACGAGGGGAACTACTAACACTTAAAGTAAGTCCTTCACCGCCAGGTGGAAAATTGCTAGTAATTCTCTTGATTCCATCTACATTATCCACCAAAAGTCAATATCCCTGAAGAGTTCTGTCCAACCAATCCAACTAGACAAGATACTCAAGCGCAGAAAATTTCCAATTACTGCATCTATTGACATCATAAGCACCGTTCAACCAGTCTTAAGAACATGGCATAAGCTGCAAACAAAATGGAAGAGAAAATTAAACAAGCAATTGGCCAACACGTCAAGACTCTAAAACCCAAAAAGAGTACGGGGAGAAGAGGGACATACTTGTTCAACAGCAAGTACCCGCAACACTGCAAATACCAACCACGCAATGGCGGAAAGAATAGCCCCACGTCCACAACCTTCATACATAACAATTAAATAATAAATGTCGTAGAAGAAAATTTAAACATAAACAAATTGCTATGTGGCATACGGTGAGAAACTTACAGCCAACCAGTCTTTTAACAATTATAAATAAAAAAAGTTCTAGAAGAAAATTTAAACAACATACACAAATTGCTATGTCGCATATGGTGAGAAACTTATAGCCAACCAGTGTTTGGACCACTCCCCTGACCCCCAAAAAAAATAATAACATAAATAGAATAAACAAATGTGTTGGTGCGTCCATTTATATAATATGATAAAAGAAAGAAGGTCAAAATATGAAGGGGAAAGAGCAGAGAACTCAGCCTACCGTCAATACTCCCTAAATCGGGTCACACAAAGAAATGACCTTCCCAGAGAGGTTGTCCTTGATACTGCTGAGGCAGTGCAACAGATTTTTTGTCTCCTCTCTGAAGTTGCTGCTGCTGCTCCTGATACACCTTCATATGTTCAGAAAACTGATGGTCCTGCTTTTCACCCTGGATTTGCAGTGTGGATACTTGCTTTCCAGGGAAAGGGAAGCTTGACATCCCCATTGAACTATTATTATTGTTGCTCACTGAACCGAACATCAGCCCTGAATTATTAATGGAATGGTTAAATCCAAGACTTTGATTTGACGAGGACAACTGATATCCATCTAGCCAGCTATAATCATCCATTTGAGGAACTGGAGGATTTTCATTTTTCAAGCTCACACTATTCGTTGACTCATCCACAAATTTGGAAGGCATGGAACCGAAGCCAGGTGGAGGACCAACATGCCTAACAGGTCGACTCACGGGATTTTTCTTCAAGCCTGCGGACCCGGCCAAAGATGGTTTCACATACAGACTGTCAGCAGCTGCTCCTGAAGAAATAATGGAATCAAACTTCGATGATAAAGCAGTCTGAGGGGTCTGAATGGGATAACAATCACCTGCATCAGGATTGATAAAAGGTGGATAGGGAACAGAAACGGCAGCAGCCTGAGAAACTCTTAAATGATCTTGCAGATGAGATTTCATGGCAGGTCTATTTTCCATTAAATTCAAGTGGGAAAATCCATTTACAGGAGCTTGTTCTACCAGCCACTGTGGAGTGCTGGGTTGAACTGGACGCAGATAGTGGGCAGCGCTGTTAGCAATAGTTGCAGGTGGCTTCATGCCGGTGCTTAAACCATTATGCCAGAGGAAACTTTCATGAAATGATCCATTTTCATTTCCAAAATCAAATTTGTCCACACCAGAAGCAACCACAGAAGTCATATTTGAAGCAAAGTCGTTTACTTGCTTCTCAGTTACAGATGGCTTGAACACGATCACCTCATTCTCATCCTCTCCTTCCATACTAACATGTGGCTCTGGCTGCATAGCACCCAGAGACATTTGAGACCCGACCGAATTTCCTTGTGTGTTACCATTAAATTTTGGAACTTCAAAAGAACCAATGAGGGCATGATCATCAGAAATTTGAGGTTCAACACCAGTTACAAATTTCTTCAACTTTGCATCAAAATAAAATCCCTCCTGCCCAATCTGGACGACATTAGCAAGAGCCTTTCCAGCTGCAAAAATCCTCTGGATGCGGATTTGCTTCTCCTTACTGCTACCATCAATTCCAAAAGAAGATTTCCTTGAGAAGTCAAGGATGAGTTGGGCATGAAGAAGAGGAAGAAATCCTCTCAATTCGAAGTCCTCAGGCAATGCAAGACGGTTAGCAGTCTCACTTTCATCATATTTGCTCATATTGGAGAAACATGTTTCATCTTTATCTTCATTAAGAAACATATGACTGTTTGATACAAGCTTATTGAAGAAGGTAATGCAGTACTTCCAGAAAACAGACCTGGCATTCACTTGTTTCTCCTCCATCTCATTGCCTACTGCAACATCATGACAACAGGCTAACCACTCCACAAAAACCATAATCCCAGGTAATAAGTAGCTCGATGAGGGATCTGTTAGCTGGTTACATCTTTCAAGCATGCAGGCCATAAATTCAAAAATAGCAGTAAATGAATTTTGAAGCAGAACTGAGCGCTGTAGAATATCAGCATATGACTGATTTTCGTTTTCCCTTTTTACATTGTGAACACTGAAAATGAGGATGGCCACCAGCCTGACAATTGCAAGTCTACACTCAGCAGCATCCGAGCCGAAGTTGCATTTCTCATCTGGCCCACAGGAAAGGAGTTCCAACAAATCATTTTTAACCATTGAGAAGACTTCCGCAAAAGTTTCCAAGCTGATTAAACATAGCAATTGGATATGCATCAGCGATTAATTATAGTACTCCCAATATACAAAATACAGTAATAAATTAGGAAAGACCTTGTACGTGTAAAAAGAATGCCATTCAGTCGAACAAATCGAATGCTGAAGGCTTTGAAGACTTCAGATGCAGTAAATACACGTTCCTTGACTGCACTTGAATCCACCTTATCATCCTTAATAGAAGGCCTAGTTTCACCTTTGCCTCTCCCTTTCCCAGGCATCTGGGAAGATACAGTCTTGACTGAAGTAGCTTTAGCATCACCAAGTAGTTGGGTATAACTCTGTCGATTCTGCCAAATAATGGAAAACTAAATATGAGACCATAGGAGTGGTGAAGCCATGTGTTGTAAGAGGACGCGGACATATTAAAGAATTAAAGAAAGAAAACAATTGCTCCCAAAAATCAATTTCAGCTAAACGGCAAGTTTTAGTACATTTGTTCTTAATCAGCATAAAAACATAAATATCACTCATGAATAAGAGCTAAGTCGTGAATGCTTACAGTTTTACTGAAAGCAAGCTAACTTACTGCATGCTCATAGGAAGGTAGCATCGCATTTAAAAACATAACAAAAACAATTATGGACATATCTTGCTGCATACAAAGGAAACTCAATACAAAGATTTCTATTGTAACACATTGGAAACCTGCAAATCTCAAGATCCCGTTACCACATTCTATAATCCATACATTTCCTCTTCTAAAAATATATAATTGTTGACGAATGAAAAAATATTGGAATGTTGATTAGGATAATTAGAATATATGCCAGATATATGGTAGAAAGGCCTTTACCACATTTTAATATTAAGAAAAGTAACTCAGATAATTATAGAATCGCAAGTACAATTTTGTAGAGGATAAGGGAACCCTACTAACACAAACAAATTAAAGTCAATTCACGAATAAAATATATTTTCCATCTAAGTATGGTTAAAGAAAAAGGTACGCAGTTGAATTCCTTATCTCTAGAAGTCCATAAGGATGCCAAAAATCTAGATCTATCTCTTAACTCAAAAACTTGATCTTTTCCTTCAGAGATCTTAGAGGTTCTCTGTCCAGATCAACCAAAAAATAGCCGAATTTATCGCTTTCCACGTGATTGCACCCTTTCTACCCTTACCATACCAAATTGTATTTTCAATTATTATTCCATTAAACTTGCTCAAGAACGCCCAATTAACACCAGCTTCCTGAAGAAATTTATACGACAGCCATTGTCCACTTGTTGTCTATGTGATGAATCTTTACCTTCCCAAATGGATAGGTAAGACTAGGAAAGGAAAGGGCAGAATCTTTATCTTCCAGAATGTAATTCTCATCTGCCGTACTAATAAAAAGATTATCAACTAAAGTGATACAAAGAAAAAACTTCAACACTATTAAGTTTAAAATCATAAAAGAAATGTCTTATCTACATTGAATTGTCACACTTGTTCATCTAATGAATTTTTACCTTCTCAAATACAATGATCAAGTTATCCCGTGCAGTGACGAATGGGTTTTCCACTGCCAGACTTCGAAAATAACGATAGATCGAAACCAGCTCGTCATTAGAATATGATGCCAGTATAGCAAGCTGAAAATTAGAGGGAATAGCTCCAAGTTAAATATGAAAAAACAAAATTAAAACTAGAAACTAGAAATAAGCAATAGAAGGATCTAAAAAGTTGTAATAGCAAACCAAAAAGACAATTCCACGAGGATTCACCTGATGATGAGGATTACCACTTGAAGGCCAAAGTGAAGAAGCTTGCAAGTAGTAACTTGATGCTGCTGCAAAAGCCTGAGCTTTAGAATCACCTTCCGCATATAAGCCTTTGTAACGAGCAAGATCCCCCAGATAAATAAAACAACGATGACAGGATATCAAGCCCTTTTTCAACTCAGAAGATTTATTTCCATCTTTAGACATGGAAATCTGATTCTCTGGGTCATCAGAAGAATATCCCAGTGGCAGACCATACTTCGCCCTTATCTTCAACATTAAATCATGATAAAATCCAGTGGCCTCCGAAAGGAAAGTCTTAAACTGGGAACGGATCTTTGAAACCCGATCAGGTCCCCCTCGAGTTGGACCTTCTCGAGTTGGACCTTTCCCATTCTGAGAAGCAGCTAATCCTGAAGAAGCTAGAGCGGCATTCAAGTGAGCCCGTAGCTCCTCAATCCTCCTGTAATGCAACTGCCACAAAGCATACTCTATGTCGTGTTGTTCAGAGAAAGCATGGTCTTCCAGTATAATGGCTTCATAATTTTCACGCATCTGTTGCCACGCATTTGGGTCTGACGGAACTCTGGCTTGTGCTGCTTTCCTACGCTTGTTCTCCAACTCAACATTCTATAGTGAAACAAAAAACTCAGACAAAAGAACATAATTGATTGAAGAGTATTGTGCAACTATGACAATGACATTTTTTAAACCTACAGATTGGACAAGAAAAAGCTGCAATCATTCAGTTGATGTTCTGAAAAAAGAAGCATAATTACAGTGTTTTAGCCTGTTTCTGTATGTTACTGTGGTTTGCACACATGAATAACAATGAAATGCACAATGCCAGATCAACATCCAGCAGATAATAAGACTTAAATTGAGTGATGCACATGCATACCTTGTTGAAGAGACGCTGAACATGCTCCCTTGTTGAATTTTCTTTATCATTATCCATCAGAATGGAATGGTCATAATCCATCAAAACCAAAAATATGCGACTTCAGCAGCAACATATAATATTTAGTCCACAAGAAACTACCTGCAGCATAGCCTCTCAATCACGAATGTGCAAGAAGTATAAGGGAAGGTTTCAACAATCATTATTAGTAAGCACACTAAGGTAGAAAAAAACTTAGTTACTCGATATATATCTGGAATTCAAGTAAGAAAAGCAACTCTATGGTCAAGAAGTAATAAATTCTAACCATTAGTAAATCGTACCACAATAATCTTCTGTCAAATTACTATGCATTTATAAGCTAAAGTCAACAACTACACCAGAATAAGAAGCCAGAAAACTGATAAGCTCAATAACATTGAAAGGAAATGTCAATATTAGGGGTCACACTGTGCACCATGTAAAAGATTTCTCAATTAAACTGGTGCAAAGGTTAAAAGATACGAAGAGTTCACACTTGGTAAAGCAATGGATAACTTTATTGCAATGAACGCACAATTCTATCCTTATTCAAGAAAATCAAAACACAGAAGGAGGTCTCACAACCCAGGAAGCTAATTGAAACAAATCTTAACACACTGCCATGAATAGAATAGACTTGCAATTCATTTGTGTCCATTGTTTCAAAAAGTTGTTTGATACTTATGACTTGAGGCACCCCTCACATCAGGCTTTCATGATAAGCCTTAAAACATGGGCCTTTAGTGCCATTTTTTACACATACGCATCAATTCCAGAGATTTATGCCTCGCAGGCAATAAGGTGAGCACTCTTTTGTCTTGCCTTTCATGGACTTATTATATCAACTTTTTTGGCTATTTTTTACAGGCTAGAACGCTTTACTAGTTTTTGTTTCTGTGCTTTTTGGGAGAAATTATAATGGGATTATAATGAAAATGTTACTAGTTTTTGTTTCTGTGCTTTTTGGGAGAAATTATAATGGGATAATGAAAATGAGTAGCAGGTCCACAAAATGTGTGGATAATAAGTAGCTAGTAGTTATAGATGCATGGTTTTAATTAATGTTTGACATTGACAACAAATTATAAGGATATTATAATTTCTCTTAAACAAGCAATTTCTCGTTTCTGCCTTTCAAGGGGAAGACACTATTCCTAGTGATAAGTGGTAACAAAGTATCAGAAGAAATTGATGGTTGTGATGAGGATGATAGGGAATCAAATATGTTGAAGATTCACTTAAAAATCTGCAATAATCCGGATTCCAAAATTTTTACATGATTGATAATTTGAAACTTACTATTTTCTACTTTATACTGATTTCCTTATGTTTGATTGCAAGCTACACTTCTAATTTTGTCAATTTGTTTATTATGAAGTTTCGAGATGATTTATGGTTTATTATAAACGTATTTTCATATTTTTATTTATACTGAATTATTATATTGGTTTGCATGGATTACAACTCAAAACACGCCGAGACTAAGGCCTTGCCTCACAGATGTAAAAGACATCAGTTATTTCATTGCCCACTTGTCAAAATTGAACCTTGGCATTATCCATACCTAAATATGCCAACACTTCTATTATACACACTTGTCAAACTTGAACCTCATCATTAACCAAACCTAGATACTGACAATCATGGCATTACCCAATTTCCAAAATCAAACACTTTCTAAATGTAAAAGTTCCCAATTGCAGCCATAGAGAAGCAGCATTTAAGATAACTCGTATGCTAAAAATTTCAACATTATCAATTGCAAACAAGACGAGTCAAAAGTTAAGAACCGGACCTCCAAAGAAAAAATGCACGTGTGAATTTCACCCTCTAAAGCAAAGTGATACATCGTCAAAGGCGTCACGAATATCAGGATTCACATTTCGTAATTTGCAAACTTGTTATAGCTAGATAAATTTATTACAAATCGGTTTCAAATCAAGTTGTACCACCAAGAACATAACAAAAATATCAAATCTCTAAACCCCAAAATCAACTTCAACCTTTAAAAATCAAGAGAAATATGCAGACGCACACAAATCAACACAAGGTTTATCCAGAAATATATACAGACAAACGCATAACTGGGGACGAATTGGTTTTTATTAAAAAACTCAGTCAAAAAACCAAACTTTTCAATTATAAAAAATAAAAAAGACAAACAATTAACCTACAGGTCCAGAAATTCAAAACCCCAAAATCACACAACTTTATAATCAACAATCTAAAAAAAAAAAAAAAAAAAAAAAAAAAAAAAAACAAGAAGAATAAAAGCTGAAAAGTACAAAATTTAGAACGAAACCCATCAAAAGTTCTTGATGAATCAACAATAAAATTAAATTTCCTAAATAAAAAGCTTACCGAATCGACCCCAGCCCAGATCTGCAATGATCTCGCCCACGACAAACCCAACTCAAGGAAACAAGTGAATATTTATATTTACATAAATACGAACAGAAAAACAGGGATTAGGGTTTCTTTATTTCCATGAATTGGGTTTTGTTCAAAGAAATTTTATGGGTTCTGTCAGGTCGCCATGAATTTTGAAGAGAAGAAGATGAACAGCACGTCTAGATATGGAAAGAGGCCGGAAGACGTGATGACTTTTTTCTTTAATACTTGAAAATCATCGGGATAATAGGCTGCTGCTGTGTTTTTTTGTTTAGGATGGTCTACACGGCTATGACCTTTCCCAAGCCAAGCCCTTTGTTTGTTATTACTTTTTTATTATTTACTTTTTGGAAAAATTAAAACTTCGCCAAAAGCATTGTTTGAGCTGCAAGTTAAGCCCAAGTTTGATAATTATTTTAAAAAAAATTAAAACTGATTTTCAACCACATTTTTTCACAATAAAAGATTATATACATAAAGTCAAAATTTTTTGCTACATTTTTATCACGAAATCTCCAAAAAAGTCACTATTTCAAAACTTATTTTTCCCAAAAAATAAATCTTTATAATGATTGTCAAACAAGGAATAAACCCTCGTTTGATTTTCATTCTTTGGCCACAAAAATGAAAAATATAACCGTTATCCATCATATCAAATCATCATATCTGATTTTTTATTTCTTGTGTGGGGTCACGTAACGATTATATTTTTCATTCTCATTCTTACAAAATGGGTACCAAACGGAACTTAAGTAAGTTGAGTCCTAATTTCTAAAAAAGTGGTCAATTTTCGATTTTTTATCTTATAGTTGCATAGAGAATCTCGACAAGGATGAAAATGATCAATATGTTGTTGATATTTAAAACTAGATTTATTTTCTAGTTAGGTTAATGTTCATAAATTTGAACTATAGCTTATTTTTATGAGCCTAACGTGACGATTTACAGAAATTTCAACATTTTTTGTCGCTGGAGATAAATTGTGCAACCACAAAGAAATTCATAGAAATGGTTGATTTATTTAGAAGGTTAGAAATGTAAGTTGCATTTCAAACAATTAGCAAGATCAATTTGTCCAATTAAAAAGGTTAGAGAGAAACTTGCTTCTTGAATAATATTGTTAATCATTTAACCCTTGTTCGACCTCCGTTTTAGTTGAATTTTGGGAAAATGTATTTTTTGCTCTTGTTAAGGCTCCATTAAATTATAATTCATTTATTTTTTTTCCTTCTTATCAACTAAACATTAATATTACACATAAATCCAGAAATTTTCTTCTTTTTTAACTATGTATTTTTTTTTAAAAAAAATACTATTTCAGAATATATTTTCGCCAAAATTTAATTATTAATGGAGCTCAAATGGGGGCTAAGAATAGCAAATTTTTTTTGAGAATATATCATTAAAAGAACAATTTTTAGTTTACGTGTAAGATTATTTTGTTGGAGAAATTGATTAGAAGAGAGAAAAATGAATTATAATTTTAAAGGAACTCATAGCTTAATTATTAAGTCATTAATAATAATTGTTTATTGCTATAAGTGTCTATTTATATTAAGCTATTGTTTGGTCCTCATTATTTTCAAAATAAATTTTACTTGATCTTATTTTCAACAAAATATTTTTCAATAAAATAATATTATATGTAAAGCCAAAAAAATTTCTTATTTTTCAACCATACATTTTCATCAAAATACTATTTCAAAATGCAATTTGGACAAAAAATGGAGCTCAAAGAAGTTGCAATATTGTTTGGTCTCCATTAGTTCCAAAAAACATTTTTATCCATCTTATTTTCAATCACACATTTTTCAATAAAATAATATTATGCGTAAATTCAAAAAAAAAATCTTATTTTTTAAACACACATTCTCTATCAAAATACTATTCCAAAATACCATTTGAACATAAAATGAATATAAAAAAGGCTCTAATATAAAAAGAACGTCTAATATACTCACTAATAAAAAGAATTTATTAAGAGCTTGTTTGTCTCCCATTTTGGGAGAAAATATAGAGTTTTGAATAGTAGTTCTTGGAGAAATGCATGGTTGAAATTTAAAAAAACTCTATTGATTTGTGTGTAGAATAATTTATTGTGTAATTGTGTGACGAAGAATGTTATTGTGACAAATAATTTATTTTATTGAAGGATGACAAACAGGGCCTAATTATAGTTAGGATAAATTCCTTCGAGATCCCTAATTTTTATAAATATGGTAGCCATGTTCTCCGACCTTTCATTTGTAAGATTCACATTCTCGACCTATTACTATCGTGCGCGTATCATCTTCACCTAACGAAAAGGTCAAATTAGATGTTAAGTCCACTTTTGAGCCCTATATTTTTAGAATGAATTTTGTAAAAATGACTTTTTAGAATTTATGATTAAAAAGTAGGAAAAATTTTGAATTTGTATGCAAAATCATTTTATTAAGAGGATGTTTAAATGAAAATGAGTTTGAAAAAAAATGAAATTTAAAGAGTTAAGCTCAAACACGTACTAAATGTCCACATGACATGCTCGAGATGCTTGATTGAGATAGTAAAATTGTCTATAAAAAATTTTCTTCATTGATTGATCAATGGTGTTGGTTCAAATTACATTAGATATTGCTCTTCTTCTTGGACAATATTGTTATTTTTTAGACAAAATTTATATATCAAGTGGACATTTAACAACTAAATAGGCGTTTTCCCGTCAAGTAGGAGTAGCTATATCCTAAAAGGTATAAAACATGACTGTTGCACTTATGAATATTGGAATCCCCAGATAAATACTCCGTTACAATTATGATAAATTTCCAAGTATCGAATAATAGGTCGATTAGTCCATCCAAAATTATTGATTTACTATATATAAGAGAAAAGAATAAAAAGAATCACTGGCTTGTCAGGTCACCTATGTCAGTAATAGTCAATAAGGCAATTGGGTGATATACACTTATTAAATTGACAAGAGTTAAGTATTTTTTGAATTTCCTAACTTATACAAAAATAAATTTCGTTACCTTAGAATCGTTATATCTATGGCAATTGTTCACAGGGCTTCGATCGTCAAATTACATATCATCAAGTCACCAACTTTCTTTAACTTTATTGGACATATGTTGTATGAAAGAATAACTTTGGATTTTATTTTTAATGAAAAAATCATAAATAACAATAAATTATGTAAACAATTTCACATGTAACCAAAAAGAAACAAAAAAGTTTCATAAATCATGTGCTAAATCATAATAATAATAAAAAAAGAAAATATATATTCTAACAAATATTATCACATCCTAATGTATAGCATATATTCATCAATATAAAATACTCTCTCACATCCCATATCTGTCTCCTTCCTCTTTCTCTCATATCCCATTTCTCTCACTTTCCTCCTTTTCTCTATCATATATAGCATACATCTCTCATAAGTCAAACAAAAATCGCACTAAAAATTAACATTGAAATTGACCATAATTTGATGAACACGGTTGTTCATCAACAATTTTTCACTAAGTATTCGTCAATTTACGGATTCAACTGTCTAATGGCATCAAATTTGATTGATTCACTATTATGGTGAATCTAAATTCGGGAATTGCAAAACAATATAGTTGTCCTTCATTCCAGCTATTTCAATCATATAGCTGTGAAGAATTATTGTTGCAATGACATCAACATTTATCAACGAACTGGGGCCATATATTTACAATAATCACAAACTGAATACCCATAACTACATCCTTTGCTTGAAGGTGACGTGTGCGGTATTGTGATCATGATTGTGATTTGTAACTTTTATAATTGCATAGTATATTCAATTTTTATCATTACAACTAGATGATAAAATATACAAAATTATAGGTCACAGTTTGATTCTGTCTGTGATCTTCGTCATTCTGATCAAAATATTCTAAAGGAGTTGTGTAGCATATTGTGACTCGAGGTGTGATTTGTAACCTTTATATTTGTACAGTATCTTCAAATTGTTCCAATATATTTGGACAGTGAAATCAATATTGTATGTCACAAATTGTGATTCTCATTATGACATGATATGTTCTGATTAGAAATTCTTGAAGACGTTGTTTAATCTATTATGGCCAAAATAGTATGTCACAATTATGATTCTGTACGTGGCCTACAACATTCTAATTGTTCGCTTACTTTATTGTGACCACTATTGTTATTTGTGATATAAGTGCCTTTTTGTGACCAATTATATTATTTGCGAGTTTCATAAATGTATACTATATTCAAGTTTCGATTTATTGTATAAATGTGAATTACAGTACTATATTGTTTAACAGTGATGGGCTTTGTGTATGTTTGTCTATTGTATAGAGGTCACATCGTTAATTGTAGTGAAAGATTCCTGCAAGTATATTAAGCTAGTTCACCTTGTTATTTTAGGGTCGAGATTAGATTCTGTAGAAGTTGTGATTACAATGTCATATACGATGTAGTGGACGTGATTACAATCGAAGAATTTGAAACAACATGGTGCCCTTGAACCAAAAACAAGAAACATTGACTGCAAACAAATAATGAAGGTTGTCACATAGTACGATAATATGTGTAATAGGTTAATGATACTTTTTTGCTTATAATTTTATTTCATTTTTTGGATTTATTCATAATTTTGTGTACAATTGGTATTATTGCATTGATATCACATTAGAATAAGACTTATTGTTAATGAGGAATTGTGACGTGATCATGTAATATTTTATGACTTCATGCAGCTATGAAGATTTATTTTTTATTTTTTATTTTGATCTATAGTTTGTTTAATTGTGACATAATATGTGGGTAGTGTAACAATAACTTTTACTAGATTGTGACCTGTTATAAGTAAGATCTAAACTGTTTGTGACCAAGTATGTGTAAAATTATTGAGGGTATAGTTTCATTATCTACTGTTACAGTGCGAATTCTATGTATTATTTTGTGATTAGAAATGTTATAAGATTGTGACTTATCATGTTGGCTAATTTTGACGACATCGTATAATTTTGTTTAACTGTGACCTATAATTCATTTACTATAATATATTCTTTTGCGACTCTAACATGTTCTAACAAATACATCATAAATTTGCGACATAAGCAATAGCTTATATTTGACCAGCAATTATGTATAAGGGTGACACGCATGAGTGATTGTGACCTAAAATGTGTGAAAAATAGCTTGGATATTTTTTGAAGCATGATATGTGACTTGGTAATAATCAATATGTGTTAGTACAACATAATCACCAATTCAAAAAATCTCGAAATGCAAATAATCATCATAGAGAAAAAAA